GCTCGGGCGGGCGGGCGGGCGGGCGGGCGGGCGGGGGGTGGGTGAGTGGGGGTGGGGGGCGGGGGGCGGGGGTTCGCCAGCGAGCAACCGGGGCGGGGATATTTCAGCCGGGGCTCCTCCCAGCAGGGCGCATGCCAGTGGCAACCCCCCTTTTTCTCCCTTGTCTTACATCGCACCAGAAGTCGTCGTCTACCCTGCCCGGTGTCGCCGCTTCGCATCAGACAAGTCACCTCCCCCCCCCCTCCCCCCTCCCCCACCACTCCCCACACACCCTATCATCACCATGGCTGACCACCTTTCTGAGGAGCAGATTGCCGAGTTCAAGGAGGCCTTCTCCCTGTTCGACAAGGACGGCGATGGCTCCATCACCACCCGCGAGCTGGGCACCGTCATGCGCTCTCTCGGCCAGAACCCCACCGAGGCCGAGCTCCAGGACATGATCAACGAGGTCGATGCCGACGGCTCCGGCACCATCGACTTCCCGGAGTTCCTGCAGATGATGGCTCGCAAGATGAAGGACACCGACTCCGAGGAGGAGATCCGCGAGGCCTTCAAGGTCTTCGACAAGGACGGCAACGGCTACATTTCCGCGGCCGAGCTCCGCCACGTCATGACCAACCTCGGTGAGAAGCTCACCGACGAGGAGGTCGATGAGATGATCAAGGAGGCCGACCGTGACGGCGACGGCCAGATCAACTACCAGGAGTTCGTCTCCATGATGGTCAACATCTAAGCGCCCGTGCGCGCGCGCCCTCTTGCGTCGCTCGGCGTGTCCTGCCCCCCCCTCTCTCTCTCTCCCCTTTCTGCCGCGCGCCCCTCCCCCGCCTTTTGTGTTGTTGCACGCACCAAAGGCGTGCAGTGCGTGCGCGCGTGTGTGCATGAATATTCCCTACGTGTGTCCGGGCTGCCTCCCCCCCCCTCCCCGGCGGAAGGGTGATGCCTCCTCTTTCTTCGAGGCTTGCCACGCTACCAGGTGTGTCTCCTCCATGCATCTTTCCCCCCCCCCCCTCACACCTGCCTTCCTCTCGGGGAGCCTTTCACTGACCTCTCTCTCTCTCTCTCCCTCGCTCCCGCTCGTTCGCCGGTCCCCCCCCCTCTGTGTGTCATCCCGCTCAGTATGCAGCGTCGCTGTGTTTCATCCTTTCCCCTCTCCCGTTTGTGTGCTCATGGGCGTACCCCCTCTCTTCGCCCCCCTCCCCCTCTATACCCGTGTGTACACGCACATGTACTTCATCTCCCGCGCTGGGCACCCCCCTCCTCTTTCCACCCTCCCTCCCTCCCCACCCTCCCCTCCCACATGTGTAATACATCCCATCAAACTGCAAGTGTGCCTCGTCTTCGTGCTCTTCTCCTCTCCGGTGTCTGCTCCGTCCCTTGCCCCTCGCCGTGTGGGCGCCACCCTCCTCTTTTTTTATGGCCCCCTCTCCCGGCCCTGTGCTCTCCTCACGCACCGGAGCAGGACGTCGCCCAGCAGGGAGGGGGAGGGTTTTATGTCCTGGCGTCTGCGCGTCCTCCCCCTGCTGGCCTCTTGCTCCCTTCCTTCTTCCTTCCTCCTTTCTCCGTTTTCTCCTTTCCAACTCTGCCCTTGATACCCCCGGGTCACACCATTTTGAGCTTGGGGGAGGGGCGAGACACGTGCGCGCACCGGGGCGCTCTGGAGAGGCACTTCTGCGCTAACTCCCGGAGGGGGGCAGGGCGGCAGGGCGGGCGGGTGACCTGCGTGGCAGGCCGGGCCTGGTTTCAGTTCCATCACCTTGGGGCTGTGCGGCGCGGGGGAACTCCCGGAAGTGGGTCAGACTCGGCCGCCCCTTCGCAGGGGATGGAGCCCTGCATGTGGTGGGTCTTGCCACCAAGCCGGGCGAGGGGCTGCCCGGGAGCGCCAAGTCGTCCCCACTGCGCCGTGCATTTTACCATTTTTCTCCTCTCCCTCTCTCTCTGTCCCGCACACACACGCCTTCTTTTGCTGCACGATCCCCTGTCTTTATCGGTGGGCATGCCCACAGCATACATGGGGCCGAGAGGACAAAGAGGAAGACCGGAGGGGGCGCGGCGCTTCAAACACATGTTCGCTTGCAAGGGGGAGGGACGTTGGTTCCCTCTTTTTTCGGAATAAAAATAATACATGTGTCTTGTCCTGTGCATACGCCTGCACCCCCCCCCCCCTCCCCCCCCCGCACAGAGGCGCGAATACTTCCAGCAGCCCGGGGCAAGGGGCCGCGCCCTGGATGCGCCCTCCTCCTCCCGAAAGAGGGGTGGTCACGTTCTGGCGGCTCTTTCCTTCCCACGATGAGTCCGGCCTGTTGTGACCGAGACTGTGTGCCGGGCGGTGGGCCTTGCTCGGTTCCCCCGGCGGGGGTCCCTGCTTCACTGCCCCTTTTGAGTCCCGATTGGTTGGCGCGCACACATGCGCACCCGCTCAGGCGCGCGGGGCATTGTTGTTTGTCGGGCCGTCCGTGCGTGACGCCGCCCCCCCCCCCCCCCCCCCCTATGGCCAAATGCCCAGGAGGACCATTTCTCTCCGGCCCCGCGCCCAGGCGCCCGGAGGGACCAGCACTCCTCGCAGGCAATCCGGCAAATGGGCCCACACGGTGTGCGCGCCACGGCCGCGCCGCCCCTCTCCGGGGCATGGGTCGTGCACACAGCACATGCACATGTGCGCGTGCCACACGCGCGGCTCCGGACGGCCGCCCCCGGGGCCGCAGGAGTGTCTGCCCGGAGATGCCGGTTCCCGCGGGCCAGGGGATCCTTCCCTCGCAAGCTTGTCATGCACGCCGTTAGACGGGCTTCCGCCTGCCCGGGCCGCGGCCCGCCCCGTGCACCGGGCCAGATCCCGCGGCCGGGCCACTCAACAGCCGCCCGGCCGATCGGGACGTCCTCGGGCCGGCGTCGCTACACCCTGCCTCCTCGCTCCTTCACCTTCCACCTTCAATCCCCCTTCCCCTGTCCTCCGCGATCTGGGCCCGAAAAGCCGCAGCGCCTCTCCAAGATGCTTCGGTCCTCCATTTCGCCCCTCCTGTGGCGGTCGGCCGCCCGGCTGGCTCCTCGGGCGCCGGCCTTCTCCTCCTCTGCGGCCCCCATGTCGACGGCCTTCTCCTCCTCCAGCACGCCCGCCCAGGCGGCCGAGGGGTCGATTCTCTCCCGGCGTTGTGCGTTGCGTGCTTTTTCCCTTCGTATGCTGCCTGCGCCCCCCCCCCCCCCCCCCCCCCCCTTGCCTCGACTCACGTCCTCGCTCTCGCTCTCACTCTTGCACCTCGCCTGCCGGCAATCAGCCTCCACCCTGATCATCAGCGTGCGCGATGAGCCTGCCCGCACGGTCACCGGGTTCGGTCACATCCTCACCGCCACCCCGGAAACGAGCGACGTTTTCGAGGAGGGGTCCCCGCGTACGCTCGCTCCCCCCCCCATTCGCCCGCCGCTTTCCTTCCTCCCGCGCCGGGCCCCTCCTGCGATGGTCGATGCTGACAATTGCCCGGCCTTGCGCCTGGCATCCCCTCCCTTCCTCCCTCCTCCTCCTCCCCCCCCCCCTTGAACGGTGCAGTCCGCATGGGCGACTCCTTCCTGCTGCGCTACTACCCCTTCTCGTCGGACCCTGTCCTGAAGGAGCGCTATCTCAATCCCTATGGTCGCATCCGGTACGCCCATCCCCTGGGGTTCTGCCTGCCCTTCTCCCGCCATGACCACCGGGGGTTTCCCTCCCCCCCCTCCCCCCCCCCCACTCCACCCGGTCACCGGCTCGCTGCTGCCCTCGCCGCGCCTGGCACCGGTCACGCCCGAGCCTCCGCAAGATCCGCCACGACGTGGATGGCTTTGCCGGGTCCGTGGCATACACCCACTGCCCGCCCCACCTCCTGACCTCGACGCCGGCATCGGCCGACTCGGAGGCCGCTCCTTCCGCCGCCAACCCGAGCGCCACGATCGTCACTGCCGCCGTCAACCAGATCATGCTCCTGAATCAGATCCGCGCCGAGCGCGACATGCGCATGACGGGTTCGTAGTGCCC